TCAGTGTGAGGTGCAGGAGGATTGCTCAGATCATGCCTAGGAGCTGTGTGGTGCCCACCAAGGGACTGTTTCTCACTGGATTTGTTTTCTGTTGAGATCGGCTCTTAGAAGCTGAACAGCATGCTGTGCTTGGAACATAGCGTCCAGGAGCTCTGGAGGTGATAAAGACAGGCTGAGCTAGAAACCTTTATCCCATGGGCTCTGCTTTTCACAACCCTCTAACTAGCCAAGGAGATCTCTGTCCTGCCAGGTCCTAGTCTCCATCCAGCCAAAATATTCACCAAGAACTGCTAGATCAGGGGTTCCTATTTGTGCTTCTCAGCTCAAGCTCCTGAGAGGGGGCTGTTACCAGAGCGGCAGGTCAGTTTTCAGTGTTTATCCCCATGACTTCCCTCTCTCCAGACCTTCTCTGCTCTCTGTTGCTGTAGGGCTTTGGCAAAGTGGGGCTGCACACTATGAAGTACCTGCACGAGTATGGAGCCCGCTGCGTCTGTGTTGGGGAGACAGACGGAGCCATTTACAATCCCAGAGGGATCGACCCCAAGGAGCTAGAAGACTATGAGCAGGTGAGTTAAGCCCAGTCAACCCAGCCCCTGTTCTTAGGGGGGGGTGGTCAGTGCCTGTCTCTGAAACGCCCATGGAGAAGGGGGCTGCCCCTCACCTTCTGCAGAGTCCAGCTCTGAGGGCAGTGCTCGATGCTGCCAGGCTGGGCCCAGCTGGGCTCTCCTGTTCGTTCCAGGGCCACGGCACCATAGTTGGCTTCCCAAAAGCAGAGCCCTGTGATGGCAGCATCCTGGAGGTGCCCTGCGACATCCTCATCCCTGCCGCTATTGAGAAGCAGCTCACGAGGGAGAATGCACCCCGGGTGCAAGCAAAGGTACAGACCGCTCGTGCCGCACACTCCCAACAGGCCCTGCATCAGTGCGAGTGACAGCAGCCCAGACGAACCTTCGCTTTTGGCACTCAGCACCCCAGGGAGGTGTCACATCACTGCACTGACAGCTCGCCCGCTGTGCCAGAGGGACAGAGCCTGAGGCAGAGGTGGCAGGTCACATAATTCAGGGGAAGAGGAAAGCCTGAGCCCTTCCCTTTGCTGGCAGGGAGCAAGGATTGTTGGAGTGACCTTGGCTGGCTCTTCTGGCATCCTCAGTCTTCATTGCTGTATCAGATCCTCCCCTCAGGGCAGGGGAGATGGTATCCTCGAAGGTACTGGGTGTCACAGTGTTGACACTGAAAATCATAGGCAGCAGGTAAGAGTGAACAAAGTAGGGGACTAGTATGAATACCAGCTTCCTCCCTTCACCGTGAGCTCTAGGGACCAAAGGGACAGGGCGTGCTGGGACCTGGGACTCTGTCACAGCCAAGGTCTTTTGCAGCCTGAGCCTTTAATCATTCTGTGTGAAACATGAGGTCTGAGCTTTTGCTCATCCTGAACAGCTTCAGTGGGGAGGTAAGCGCCCAGACCCCTGCCACCAGAAGTGGCCTGGTGGGGGGGATCCAGCAGCAGGGAAAGCAGCCTGTCACTGGTTTCTTCTTTCATTTCCTCCGCCTATCTCACCTCTGCTCTGCTTGTGCTCTCAGATCATTGCAGAAGCTGCCAATGGCCCCACTACACCAGCAGCACATGAGATATTCCTGCAAAGAAACATCCTGGTCATCCCGGTATGTCCATCCCCACACACAAGGGGAGATGGTGGGCTCGTGGCTATTAGGGCCATACGGTGGCGTCAGCTGCACTGATGTGGATCCAGCTGGGCTCTGCCAGGCTCTGGGATCAGGCAGTGTTGATGGTGCTCTCTCAGTCAGCCTGTTCCCTGCCTTGCCCCCAGCTCCTGAGCACATCTCAGATGCTGGTTTCCCGTCTGAACCCTCCTGGTTCTTGGCTGCAGCAGCGATAGACTATGGGGCTCCTGGCCAGCACCGGGATGTCCTGCGGCCGCTGATGGGCCAACAGCAAACCGTGCCACATCACACGAGGTGCCAGAGCAGCTGGTGTCCCTGCTCAGAGGCAGTGCAGAGCCACCGTGGCTCTAGGATTCAGCCATCCCAGTAACCTCGGGACTGTCTCTGAGGGCAGAGCCCAAGAGTATGGGGAGGGACCCAAGGCAGAGGAGGAGAGATCCCCAGATGGGTCATGGGTCTTGGGGTCACCCTAAGCAGCAAATCTGAAGCGTGTACTGCCCTTGGCAGGACGTGTACGTGAATGCAGGTGGTGTGACCGTTTCCTTCTTCGAGTGGCTGAAGAACTTGAACCACGTTAGCTACGGCCGCCTCAGCTTCAAGTATGAGCGGGAATCCAGCTACCACCTCCTGCAGTCAGTGCAGCACAGCCTGGAGCAGTGGTTTGGCAAGGCGAGAGGGGAGATCCCCATCGTCCCGTCCCCAGAGTTCCAGGCCCGCGTGACTGTAAGTGTCTACAACCATGGAGGGTTGTCCTGGCTCACTTGTTTCACATTCACAAGACACTCATGTCTGCCGTCCCAGTGCTGAAAGCTGAGCTTGTGGCACACACAGAACCCCCTGTGCTATCGTTCTACTAGTGGAGGGGATGGAGTGGAGATGCTGTGTATGGTGGTACAGCCCTACCATCTGAGGGTGCTGCTGGGTGCTGCAGGGAGTCCCTTGGGAGCCGAGCCATGTGCTGGAGCCAGCTGCAGAGGTGGCAAGCCAAGCTTAGATCACCTGTGGTGGTCTTGCACCAAGCAGAGGGGCTGTGTTTGATAAATGGGTTTCGGGAGTCTAGCCTTTCCCACAAAGGATTCACTTGTTCTCCCCCTCAGGGTGCCTCAGAGAAGGACATCGTGTATTCGGGACTGGCCTACACCATGGAGCAGTCAGCCAAGGTACCTCCACGGGCTCCTGGCCTCGCCCATCCCTGCTGTCAGGCCCCTCGCCTCGCTGCAGAGGCTCTGTGCTGTATTTGAGGGGTATCTGAGGTCAGCACGAGGCCTGGGTTCATCTTCCCAGTGGTGGCTATGTCCACCCTTTGAGTAAAGCCTCATGCTCAGCAGTGTCCCTTGTTGCTGTTGGGTCCCTGTCCCTCTCTCCGTCCCCCTGAACCTGTGTTCCCCATTTCCAGGGTTGCTTAGATGAGCCAGTGGGTGCAGGGTGGTGCCGGCACTGCTGGGTGGGGGGGTCTCATGCCACCCCTCAGGGAATTGGCTGCGTGCCGTGCTCGGCAGCGAGTGGTGTGCGTGAAGCTCACCCATGGGCGCAGGGTCTGTCCCCAGGGGAGTGCTGTGGGGCAGCAGTAGGAAAGCATCTCCAGACCCGCTCGTAGATGGCTCCAGGTCTTACAGAACAGCCCGCTTGGTCGTTTGGTGTGGAGGTGACCTCTTCCCCTTCGGGTGCTCCCGGGGCCTGGCCTGATGCTTGCACGCGTAGCACTGCCTGCACCCTCCTCTGCGTCCTCTGCCCACCCCTCGCCCCCAGACCCTCCCAGCATACACCGGCCTCACAGCTCTCCTCTCTCTCTAGCAAATTATGACCATGGCTGCAAGGTACAACCTGGGCCTGGACCAGAGAACCGCTGCCTACCTGTGCGCTCTGGAGAAGGTGTTCACCGTGTACAATGAGGCCGGCTTCACCTACTGACACAGCACCCGGCAGGGCTGCCCCGGGCATCACTGCCAGCCGCACGGTGAGGGTCACAGTCCTGCTGCGCAGGGGGTGCCCAGGACACCGCGTGCTGCACAGAGGGTGCGCCCTGTTCTCTATAAATGGTTGGTTTGAGCACATTCTCTCCCTGCTGTCTGGCTCTCAGTTCTCCTGGGCAGGGGGCTGTCTTCCCCCACGCTGCCTCAGCCCCTTTACAGCCTCCTGGGCACTGGAGGAAGCCGTGCTGATGCTGGTTTGGGTCTGCTTGCCCATGGCTGGCAGAATTGGACAAGGGAAGGAAAAAATGCAATTAGCTCTAGGGGAGGGGACAGCCCACGGCACAACCAGACCTAGGAAAAGCTGTCTCAGTCCATTTAATACCGCACGGTAGGTGCTGCAAGCACTGCTGCAACTGGCGCAGACACGGGGAGCAGAGCCAGGGCAGGGATTTGCAGGCATCAGCAAACCTGTTGTGTGTCCGTGCTGACTGCTGCAGCTTCACTCTGCTGGCAAAGCTGGCGAGCCACCACGGGTAGGGGATTTAATCTGATATTCATGGTGGGGAGACTCAGCCCAACCTCTCACGCCGGCCTGTGCTGCAGTCAAGGGGCTGGAGGCTGGCTGGGGACTCAGGCTGGGCTGGTGGCCCTGCCCTGGGGGAGCTGAAGGCTCAAGGACTGCGCTCGGGTGGGCACAGGACCCCCTGCTGTGGTGGACGTCAGTTAGTGGTGTGTGGTAGTCACCTGCCCTTGAGGTAGTCACACTGCAGCTGAGCAAGCTGCGGGTGCCAGCCATGTCCCCGGCCCCCTGAGGGGACCACGGTCATGTAGGAAGGTGGGGACAGCAGAGGAGAGGCTCCCCTTTGCTCTGCGCTTCTAGCACAAGATCAGGGTGCGTCCCTAGGAGGTACCTTACAAACAGCAGCACATCCTGCTGCAGGGAGGACGGGGGGAAGCCTGCACCCAGCACCTGAACCCCCTCTGCTAGCACAGCCTGGGAGGGAACCGGTGCTCCTGGGAGGGAACCAGTGCTTGAGCCCAGGACTGTGTCTAGCCTCATCCTGGCTTGGGGTCCTCAGCCCCAAAAGGCCGCCTGCATTCACCTGTAGATGCAAAGCACTGCAGCCAGCACACAGGCAGGTGGCACGGGGACACTGCCTGCGCCCCCAGGCCTCAGCCAGAGTGTGGCTGGAGGCCCAGGGCACGGTGAGCTGCTGCTGACGCAGCAGCGAGCAGACAGGAAGGCATCTTGTCCTCACGAGGACCCGGTCCTGCCCACTCCCCAAGCTGGAAGGGGTCAGCCAGTCTGCCCCAGCCCCTCATTCCTCTTCCCAAAACTACCCCTGCCACCAAAGCACAGGGCCACCCCTCTCCCCAGGGAACCCACAACCAGGACCAGGAAGCTACAGACAAGAGTTGGCTTTATTCACGGACACGGGGGCAGCTGTGTCACTGGCAGCTGCCCTCGTATTGCACATCCAGCGATGGGGGTGGGGGGATATCCATGCCACGTCACAACACAGCGTCGGCACTATGGGACCTCGAGGGGGGCGCGGGCACCGTCACCACCCAGCAGGCTGGGGAGTGGCTTGGGTGCCAAGGGTTCACAAAGGCAAAAGACCCGTCCACCCATAGATAGAGAGATATATATAAAAAAAATAGTTCCACAATGACCAGAGCAGAACCACAAGGACACGCGTGCAAGCTAAATGTACAGCAGCCCGCGAGCAGGTAAACATGCTTTGTACAGACACAGACACACCAGGACGCAGCCGGGGTTTATGGCGCTGGGAGGGATACAGAGCGATAAACCCGGGCTTCACGGACGCACACACACACGCACGCACACCAGCCCCTGCGGGCGATGCCCACGGCTCGGGCACACGCCAGGGCTTGGGGGCTTGGACACGGCGGGTTTTTCTCACTGCTAGACATGGTACGGAGACATGGACACAGTCCCTTGGAACGGAACTGGAGGAAGAACTCGTGAGCGAACGGGGCAGGGACACCCCTGCTCCTCCCTGGCACGTGGGCACCGGCCGGGGCCGACTGGGGAGGAGCAGGGGGCTACCGGCGGTTCGTTGTGCTGCTGGTGGAAGAGGCGAGGACGGGGGTCCATTATGCCTCTGGCTCGTATTCCTGGTATTCCTCCTGTGGGGTGAGGAAAGAAAGAGTCGGTGAGAGAGCTCAGGTGGGGCACGGAGCCCCTGTCCCCCTCAGCCCCACGCCAGCCTGCCCACGAGGCTGCAGGGCTGCGTGCGTGGGGCACCTGGGAGCAGGCAGGCTCTGGGCTTTGCTCCGCACAGCGATGGCCACCAGCACGCTGAGCGCTGGCACCCCGTGCCCTCTGCGGTGCCCTGTGCCACCCCACCACCCTGTCCCCTCACCTGCGGGGGCTCCTCGTAGCTCTCCCCCTCTGGCTCCAGCAGCGGCTCGACCAGCGGCTCCTCAACAGCCTCCTGGGCCACCTCCTCCGGCTGGGGATGAACCGAGGGGTCAGTCCCATGCACACAGCCCCCCACGCAGCACCCACCCTCCCTGCCCCTGCCAGACCGGGGGGACCTGGCAGAGACCAGCAACGCACCCGGGATGCTGGGGGCTCCACATGGGGGGCCCAGCGGAGGGGGGCTGGCAAGGACACCCCGAGCACACACCAGTCCACCTAGCTGGGAGGTGACAGGCAGGAGTCCGTGGGAGCAGGGCCTGGGTGTGCGCATCCCTGCACCATTCCCAGCCCCGGCCCCAGGCAGGTGATGGGTGCTGGCACCGTGTGGGCCCTGGCGGGCTCCAGGCACTGGCGGGGCCGCAGGAGCATCCTGCATCCCTGGCAGGGGAGGGTAGGGCTGGGTAACCCCTCCCCGGGGCTGGCAGAGCAGCTGGCAGGAGAGAAAGGAGGGCGGCCGATCCCCCCGTGCAGCAGCGGTGGCGGCGGTGGCCTCATTTCTTCAGCTGATGCTATTTTGGGCTAAGCTGGAAGCCAACGGCTCATGGGGGAGGTGAGATGCGAACCCGCTGCCCCTCCCTGCCCCTCCACTGCCGCAGCTGTCAGGTCACCCCGCAG